TATATAAAAATAAAAACAATATAAAAGCAGCTCAAAAATATGATGAACATACATTTATAGCAAAATTCACAAAATAGAATAATGTCCATGATTATTATATGATTTGCCATAAACCAGATTACCTTAAATATAATGCATATGGAATATATATAATATAATTTATTGGTTGAAAAGATTTAAGGCTAAATTAGAAATGGAGAAGCCAGCATCCACAACAAGATTGTGGCCACTCACATACTTCGACTCATCACTTGCTAGATAAAGAACAGCCTCTGCAACATCCTCTGCCATCAAATCAACACCTTTAAGGTTTGAATACACGTCAAGTTTATCATCCTCTGCCAACCCAAAATAGGTCCTTATCATTTGTGTAGGAATTATATAAGGGGAACACAGTTGACTCGGATACCGTATCGCCCCAAGTCGAGGGCAGTATTCTTAGTCAGGCCAACAATCGCATGTTTTGAGCACGTATAAGCATGTTGAAAACCCCCCATAACACCAGAAACACTAGCTGTGTTTATTATGCTCCCCCTTTGCACGGGTTTCATCACACGAGCAGCGTGTTTCGTTCCCAGAAATGCACCTAGGGTGTTAACACGAAACACGTTAACAAAATCAGTCCCATCGCAATCAAGAATGTCCAATCCCTTGGCTCCCGTGATGCCTGCATTGTTCACCATTATATCAAGCCTTCCATGTGTAGAGACTGCTTTGTTCACTGCATTTTGGACATCTGCTTCGCTTGTGACATCACAGTGAACAAAGAAAGCGTTACCGGGACCTAAATCTTTGCAGATAGATTGGCTTTCATCATCATCTCGGGTGTCGGCTATTAGGACTTTGGCACCATGTTGACAGAATAGCTTCGCAGTGGCAGATCCAATGCCACCAACACCACCAGTAATTATGGCTACTCTTCCATCCAACCTATGGGCCAACAAGTTATGAAAAATGATGAACTATTGTCACAGTGTAGTGTTATGAAAATTACCCAAAAATGGAATAGATCCGATCCAATTATGCATAGATACCTCTTAGCAGCAGTAGAAAGGACCGAACTGCTCACCATTTTTCTTTAATCGATCTCTTGAGATGAGATGACCAATACTTCCTCCCTTCAACACTCCCTTTCTAACCTCTAAAACTCTCCAATAAAGGCAAACAGTTGGTTCCTGCGTTTATTGCTTTCATCTGTCAATAAGTAACACGTGCTTTATATCTTTGAGGATAGCTACACAAAAGCAAGTAATAATGTCCACATATTTTCTTAATATTATTGTGGCATAGTATGGAAAATATTCCAAGGGACCTATCGTGTGTAGATAAAACATCACTTGTTATGTACACGACCATCAATCATTATATCGTGCAGCGTGGTGAATAATCGATTATGCACCGCGCGTCAAAACAACGTCGTTTCTGCAGTTATAACGGAGTGACACTACAGTCACTACTAAAAATTATTAAATTTTCGACCACCTAAAAGTAATCTTAAATCAAGTTGAAAGCAAAAAGTGGTCCGAAATAGCAACAAAGGTTTTTCCGGATACTAAAAGTGGTCAGAACAAGGTTTTCGACTTGATTTAAGATCACTTCCAGGTGGTTGGAAATTCCATAATTTCCAGTAGTGAGTGTGTCTAAACCGATATTGTCTCACGTATTATTTTTATATTATCAAATGAAAATGCAGTAATATCAAAATGATACTGTAGTTGTGGTGAAATGAAACTACAGTATATATAAAATGAAACTGAATAACATTTCACATATTTGAGTGTATATTGTACAATGAAGCTGTAATTATATTGAAATAATCATGTAGTTATGTTTTAATGAAACTATAGTGTATATAAAATAAAATTAAATAACATTTTCACATATTTGAGTGCATAAATATTGAATGAAACTGTAGTTATATCGAAATGAAACTGTAGTTGTGTTGAACTGAAACTGCAGGTATACAAAATGAAACTGAAGAACAGAGTTATTTTTTGCGAAAACTCTGTTTCTTTTCATTAAACAAAACGACGTCGTTTTGATGCGCGGTGCATGATCGATCACGCACCGCGGTGAACGATATAATTTGGGCATAAAATATTTACAAGGTTATGGTAATAAAGTACACTCGACGATCTTGATGCCTTATAAGTCCAAATTACTCGTAAAAGATCCAAGCTCACAAGGTTGGCAAGTTACGGTCCTCACAGCTGTATGGACCACGGTTCAAAATATCATCGTGCATATTATGAATAAAAGTAATATACATTATGTGTTAGAATAATGTACATTATGTGTTGAAATAATGTACATGACGTGTTTAGAATAATGAAACATCTGTGATAACATATTGTATACAATGTTTTAAAATAATGTATATTATGCTTTAGAATAATGTACAGTATGTTTTAGAATAATGTACATTATAAAAAATGTAGGTTGCAGCTGGGTGCGTGAAAAAATAAAACTAAGCAAAACGACGTTGTATTTTGGTCGTGGTCCACACAGCTGTTTGGGCCACAACCCACGCAATAACTATTGCACAAGGTTGTTGAACGACCCACTGGAGACTGAAGGAACTGTTCATGGGCAATTTATATCGTGGACCAGGGTCCACAGTGCATTGTAGACTCTGGTCCAATACACATAATTTGACTTCATAATGTAAGAATTCAAGTTTAAAATGTACAGAATTTATGTTCATAATACATATACACATAAATACGATGTAATAGCCAAACACCTTGTGCTCATATGGCATGTAGTGACTACTCTCATGTGGGAGGTCATGTGTATTGGACCAGGGTGTGCACTGTGGACCCTGGTCTACGATATAACGATTGCACCCTTTTGAAGCTACAAATCTTGTTGGTGTTACTGTGTCTCTATTTCATCTAAAAAATATAAAAATAAAAACAATATAAACGCAGCTCAAAAATATGATGAACATTTATGGCAAAATGCACAAAATAGAATAATGTCCATGATTAATAAATGAGGGATTTGCCATAAACCAGATAACCTTAAATGCATATGGAATATAACTTATTGGTTGAACATATTTAAGGCTAAATTAGAAATGGAGAAGCCAGCATCCACAACAAGATTGTGGCCACTCACACACTTGGACTCATCACTTGCAAGATAAAGAACAGCCTCTGCAACATCTTCTGGCATCAAATCAACACCTTTAAGGTTTGAATACACATCAAGTTTATCATCCTCTGCCAAACCAAAATAGTTCCTTGTCATTTGTGTAGAAAGTATATAAGGGGAAACACAGTTGACTCGGATACCGTATCGCCCCAAGTCGAGGGCAGTGTTCTTAGTCAGGCCAACAATTGCATGTTTTGAGCATGTATAAGCATGTGGTAAACCCCCCATAGCACCAGCAACACTAGCGGTGTTTATTATGCTCCCCCTTTGCTTGGGTTTCATCACACGAGCAGCGTGTTTCGTTCCAAGAAATGCACCAAGGGTGTTAACACGAAACACGTTAACAAAATCAGTCCCATCGCAATCAAGAATGTCCAATCCCTTGGCTCCCGCGATGCCTGCATTGTTCACCATGATATCAAGCCTTCCATGTGTAGAGACTGCTTTGTTCACCGCATTTTGGACATCAGATTCGCTTGTGACATCACAGTGAACAAAGAAAGAGTTGCCATGACCTAAATCTTTGCACATAGATTGGCTTTCATCATCTCGGGTGTCAGCTATTAGGACTTTGGCACCATGTTGACAGAATAGCTTCGCAATGGCAGATCCAATGCCACCAACACCACCAGTAATTATGGCTACTCTTCCATCCAACCTATGGGCCAACAAGTTATGAAAAATGATCAAATGTATACATCAGTAGTATGGAAATTACCCAAAAATGGAATAGGTCCAATTATGCATACCTCTTAGCAGCAGCAGAGAGGAGCGAACTGCTCGCCATTTTTCTTTAATCTCTTCAGATCACCAATATTTCTTCCCTTCAACACTCCCTTTCTAGTTTCTAACCTATAAAATTCAAACAACTACATCAAAGTCTCCAATACAGACATACACTTGGTTCCTGCGTAATTTATTGCTTTCATCTGTAAAGTAGCACGCGTAGTTTATATCTTTGACCTTTGAGAATAGCTACACGTACAAAAGCAAGTAATAATGTCCACATGTTTCCTACAATTATTGTGTCAGCACTGATGATCTATGTACCTTAATTTTGTGCAATTTAATTCTTGTATTTATTTTTCTCAACAATAATTTTCGAACAAAAAAAGAGTAAGGACTCAAACCCACAACTTCAATTCTTACCTAAACAATAAACTCTCCACCACTAAGCTACACATTAAACTCGTTATAAGAATGTTAAAAATATGTAATAATAGTTATTCTTGTGCAACTGGGCACCAAGCTGTCCATCACCATGAGCTCTCCACCAGAAAGCATAAACTTTTGCACTAGTCAAAGCAAAATCAAGAAAATCATGATGCACATAAATTCTTAACAGAATACGCATAAACACAAGTGTTAAAAAAAAACTGTAACGAAATTGTTAAGTAATACTTATAAAAACGACATCGTTTTGGCAAATCAGAACGCACAATGCATTGTGCGCCATGGTGCACGATATAACGATTGTATCTTTTGTCACAACCTAGGATTTAAAGCAGAAAAAATGGCAGAAATAGAGGCAAAGAACAGAAGCAAGGTGGGAAGAAATGAGAGAACTTTAGGGAAGAAAATTAGGGTTTGATTGTTATAACAAAATACATGAATCAATCTCCTCCAGCAAAACCAAAAACATAAAGCAAATCTAGCTAGTGGATCCAAAATATCTTCATAACCACCTCCGGATTCTCAGCTCACAAACTTCCTTGCCCAGTTGAGAAACGGCAATATTGAGCAATTCTCAACCCTTCACACAAACGATACCTTTTCTTTCTAATTATAACGGCTCTTTAAACCCTTCCTTCAAATGACGTCGCGTAATTAAGCTATAACGGCTATCAACCGCCCACCTTCAAACGACGCCGTCTCAGTCCTTCAACTTTGCCAAAATGATCAGTTTCTGTGGCTCTCCCTGTGTCCAGTTCACCTTCCTGAGCTTCTTTTTCCCTTTTACCCTCCTTGTTTGTGACATTTCCCTCTCCTTCAAGGGATCCTTGTCCCCAAGGATCAAATTCTGGAAACTGCTTTGTGATATGGTGGTAGTTTTCCCATGTTGCTGCTTCTTTGGGTAGATTTGCCCATTGTACCAAGATCTCAACTTCAGCCTGGTTGTTCTTCTTGATAAGCCTCTTTCCTAAGGATGCTAATGGTTGAGCCAACACCATCTCTTCAGGATCAGTGAGGGGTAGGGTAGGCTGTGGAATCATTCCTTCTCCAACCTTCTTCTTTAACTGAGACACATGAAACACTGGATGTATAGCAGCCCCAACCGGCAATTCCAGTCTGTAGGCCACTTCCCCAATCCTTTCCATGACTCTGAAAGGACCATAAATTCTGGCTGTGAGCATAACACTAAACCTAACAGCCAGGAACACTTGCTTGTAGGGTTGTATTTTGAGGTACACAAGATCACCCACTGTAAAACTCTTCTCACTCCTGTGTTTGTTTGCCTGTTATTTCATTCTAGATTGAGCTTTTTGTAGGTTTTCCTTGAGAATAGCTATCATGGAAGCCCTCTCCTTGAACTAGTCATTGCCTTCTCCTTCTGTTACTAAATCAAAGGTCAAGGATGGGGGTAGATAGCCATAGAGAGCTTGGAAAGGTGACATTGTAAAGATGTATGGTAATTAGTGTTGTACCAATGCTCATCTAAGTGTAGCCACTTGGCCCATGACTTAGGCTTGTGGAATACCATGTTGGAAAAATTAGCTTAAAATGGCATAAAATGGCATATTAAGTGGCTATTTAGTGGTACAATTATCAGTGGGGTCCACTTCCAATTTGGGTCGGGTCAAAGTGGATTCGGGTTCTTCGTAGTGAGACGAAGAGATTGATATATTGTACGCTCAAAACGGATAATGGGTGAATGAGATATTGATTCTCAAAGTAGACCCATCCATTTGAGTTGGGAAATGAAGGGAAATAGTGGACTTTGTCCCACATTGGTTTGGAAAGAATATTTGCCCCCCTTATATACAAGAGCTCTTTTGAAGCTTGTAGAATTGTATAGCATAGAGGCTTTCTCGTGCGGGGGGGGGGGGGGGGGTGCGAAACAAAATCTAACTAGAAGGGACTGAAAAGGCTTGACTCAAGCCCGAGCTCGCGTGCGTCGGCACCTGCGGGCACGAATGTCGTCCGAAAATTGGCTGGCTTTGCGGGCTAAGCTTTGCCAAACTTCGGTATCTTTTTCCAACTGATATAGTCACTTGGTTCGGCTGAGTTCGACCGAAACCGACCTACTCTCAGAGAGCACGAGAGGTTGTGGTGCACCGAGAGCCAAAACCGACCTACTCTCAGAGAGCACGAGAGGTTGTGGTGCACCGAGAGCACGACTCTCGTGCATCAGTGATCACGAGAGGTGCACTCTCGGGTTGCACCACAGCGCGCACGAGAGATGTACTCTCGTGTTGCCTAGTCCATGTGCTCTCGTGTGAACCTGCACCCTAACGGTCTGAAACCCGAAAGTTCATAAGATTAAAATCATCTGTTACTGGAATTAACACCGTTTTAATTCCAATTTTAATCATCTGTTACTGGAATTAACACCGTTTTAATTCCAATTTTAAAACTGAGTTTAATCCTACTTAGTGGGTGGCTGTTACAAGTGTTACACAATTGGTTTTAATACAAATTTAATGGCCATGTTGAATGTTATCACTCTAACATCCCTATATAAAGAGAGGTAGAGCAGTAGCTTTTTACACAGTAGAGAAACAAAGGAATTCCAGTAGCTTTATCTTCCCAAAACTCTGCTTCTACTATCTTCTTTAGCCAATCTGTGTTCCAGCTTTGCTTTGTTTGCCAGATTCTTTGTTTAGGTGCTTAAACAAAGAATCGTAGCACGTTTTATCCTGGGAAACCTATGCTACGATGCTCCTAACACTTGTGTAAGGTAGCCAATAAGGTTTTAAGGAAAAGAACTTTGTGATCGAACTCGTGCTAAACCTATATCCAAACACTCCAGCTTTTCCTTCCCAGTTTTCTGTTTTCCCATACAATAATAATTTTTTTGTAGAATTATTATTTTGGGATTTTTCAACCATTTTACCCAACAATCTTAAAACCTTATATCTGTTTCCCGTTGGTTGTTTATCTCTAATTTCCTAGAAGAAATGGAGAATCCCGTTCTGCCAGCTAATGGGGAGAAGAATGTTGTTGAGAACAACAATGGTGGGAATGGCAACAATGTTGCTAATTCCCAAGCTACACCAGTGAACGTTGGTTCACAAGATGGTGGAAGCACTGAGGGATATATTCCAATGACTCGGATACCTTCGGTACTGAGTGGTTCGGCCGAAAGATCGGAGAAGTTCACCGATAGTGGATCGAACTTCAAGAGGTGGCAACAAAAGATGTTGTTCTACCTGGAAACTCTCAGCTTGGCGAGATTCTTGACCGAGAAGGTTCTAGAACTAAGGGACCAGGATGCCCAATCCGTGATGGCAGTTGGCTATTGGAAGGATTCGGACTTCCTATGCCGAAACTACATCCTGAATGGATTATGTGATGCGTTATACGATGTATATCGCAAGATTGGCACAGCGAAAGCGCTGTGGGAAGCCTTGGATCATAAATACCGAAGTGAGGATGTCGGCGCAAAGAAATTTGTGGTTGGCCGATTCCTTGACTTCAAAATGGTTGATTCCAAAACCGTGCTAAGTCAGGTTAAAGATTTACAACAAATATTTGATGAAATCCGTGACTAGGGCATGACGTTGAGTGAAGCCTTCCTAGTGGGATCTGTTATCCACTTGCTGCCTCCAGGGTGGAAGGACTTCAAGAATTACCTTAAGCATAAGCGAAAGGAAATGAACCTGGAGGACCTGATCCAGCAACTCCGAATTGAGGAGGGAAACAGGACGAACGATGGTAGAAATTCTGTCACTGTTGGCGCTAAAGCCAATGTTGTGGAGCATGCTAAAGGCTCCAAGAAGAACAAGAAGGACATGCAAAAGCTAGGTCCAAAAGGAGGCATTACCAAGAAAAAATTTCATTGAAAATGCTTCAATTGTGGCAAGTCTGGCCACAAGTCCTCTGAGTGCAAAGTTCCAAAAAAGAAGAACAAGAGTTCTGAAGCCAACATGGTTGAAGAAAGCAATCAGAAGGAGGTCGAGATTAGCCTTTCGGCTATGGTGACCAAGGTGAACCTCGTAGACTCTAACCCACGAGAGTGGTTCATCGATACTGGTGCAACAAGGCACTTGTGTTGCAACTGAGAAATGTTCAACACCTTTGAGACCGTTGAGGGCGAGAAGGTTTGGATGGGAAACTCTGCTCAGGGCAAGGTGGTTCTGAAGATGACTTCCGGGAAGGAACTGACGTTGAACAACGTACTGTATGTTCCGGAGTTGAGGAAGAATCTGGTGTCTGGCTCTCTATTGAACAAGCATGGCTTTCGCATGGTGTTCGAGTCAAACAAGGTTGTTTTGTCTAAGTTAGGAATGTTTATAGGCAAAGGTTATGTAACTGATGGGCTTTTTAAACTCAATGTAATGCCTATTATCATGAATAAGAGCAAAGTTACTTCCGTTTACTTGCTTGAGTCTTCCAATTTGTGGCATGGTAGACTAGGTCACGTTAATTATAATTCTATACGTAGATTAATTAACATGGACCATATTCCGAATTTTCAAATTAACACAAATAACAAATGTGAAATTTGTGTTGAGGCAAAATTAACGAAAGTACCTTTCAAATCGGTTGAAAGGGAAACTGAACCACTAGAATTAATCCATAGTGATTTGTGCGATTTTAGATCGATACAAATGAGAGGTGGTAATAAATATTTTATCACATTTATCGATGATAGCACACGTTATTGCTATGTGTATTTGCTTAAAAGCAAAGACGAAGCCTTGGAAAAATTCGTTCTTTATAAGAATGAAGTTGAAAACCAACTTAATCGTAAGATTAAGAAAGTTAGAAGCGATAGAGGTGGTGAGTACGAAGCACCTATTGGTGACTTCTGTGCGAGTGTTGGTATAATACACGAGCGTACGGCACCTTACTCACCTCAATCGAACGGTGTTGCCGAACTAAAGAATCGTACATTGAAAGATATGATGAATGCGATGCTTATAAGTTCGGGCCTACCTCAAGATGCGTGGGGTGAGGCGATTTTAACAAGTAATTACCTTTTAAATAAGGTACATCGCAAGAAGCTCGATAAGACTCCTTATGAGCTGTGGAACGATAGGAAACCTTCCTACCAGTACCTGAAAGTGTGGGGGTGTCTTGCCAAAGTTTTGGTGCTAACACCTAAGAAAGTAAAGATAGGTCCCAAGACGGTGGACTGTATCTTTATTGGCTATGCACATAATAGTAGTGCTTATCGGTTCCTAGTACACGAGTCCCATAATCCGGACGTACATAAGAACACGATAATAGAATCAAGGAATGCATCTTTCTTTGAAAATGTATTTCCTTGTAGGTCCAACGAGGGACCAAGTACGTCAAAATGAACGTTTGACGAAGCTATGGATAATGATAGTGGCGAATTCGAGAGAGAACCCGAGCTCGAGCCGAGACGCAGTAAGCGGGCGAGAGTTGGAAAATCATATGGTCCTGATTTTCTAACTTACTTGTTGGAGTACGATTCGAGTACTCTAACTTGTTTATTAGAAAATGAACCCGATTTTCTAACTTGTTTGATAGAAAACGAGCCTCGAACATATGTAGAAGACGTGACTTCTACAGAAGGACCAATGTGGAAAGAGGCTATTAAAAGTGAAATGGATTCTATTTTACAGAATCACACTTGGGAACTTGTTGATCTTCCTCCGGGTAGTAAACCCTTAGGATCCAAGTGGGTCTTTAAAAAGAAGATGAAACCCGATGGTTCCATCGAGAAGTATAAGGCTAGGCTTGTAATCAAGGGTTACAGGTAACGCGAGGACCTTGATTACTTCGACACGTATTCTCCCGTGACGAGAATAAACTCCATTCAGATGATACTTTCCATAGCTGCGTTGCGGAATCTGGAAGTTCATCAAATGGACGTTAAAACCGCTTTCCTAAATGGCGAATTAGATGAGGAAATCTATATGGAACAACCCGAAGGGTTCATGGTTCCGGGCCAAGAAAGGAAAGTGTGTAAGTTGGTTAAATCGCTATATGGTTTAAAACAAGCGCCTAAGCAATGGCACGAGAAGTTTGACCATGCGATGTTGACTAATGGGTTTAAAATAAACGAAAGTGACAAATGTGTCTACGTTAAAGAAATGATAGACGGTTATGTCATTCTTTGTTTATACGTAGATGACATGCTCATCGTTGGTAGTAACGATCGGATGATCAAGTCTACCAAAAACATGTTAAATGCGAGATTTGACATGAAGGATATGGGTTTGGCTGATTTAATCCTCGGGATTAGAATCATTAGAAGACCTTATGGTCTTGTGTTGAGCCAATCACATTATATTGATAAAATCCTTGAAAATTTTAACAAGGA